AAAAACATGATCATTCTCAGGGGAGTTCTGCAGCTATAAGGAACATATCTTTTTCTTTGATTTCTCAGACGTTTATTCACGATGGAAATCAGAGATATTGATATCTGATCAGGAAGTCTGAGGCACACTGAATCTAAAGGTGGACATTTTAATACGGGGCCTTACTGCTGGAGCCAGCCTCTAGTGGCCGTTAGAGGAACTGCAGTTGTTAGTTCAGTGTGCAGACACTGTCGTTGCTGCTTGAGATAAACACGTTTCTCTCTCACATTGACTTAATATCTTGTTGGATCTGAGCCAGAAGATTCTTCTGAGGACGCTGCCATTTAATTCCTTATCATGTCAGAGCGATAGGTTGATTTCCAGAAACAACATACAACCAAATACATAAACCAGGTTTACGAGTCCACGAAGAACTCTGAAACACTGTACCACAGGGATATTCAGGACTGTAGGTATGAAAGCTGTGACCCTTCATGTCTCCACTCAAAGATCTGTTTGAGGTTGCAATAATAAAGCACGGACCGCCTTGAAGTCTTTATTCATCTTATTGGATTCTGTTTCTCTGAGAAGGAATATATTCCTGCCAGCCTGAACATAGTTCTGAATGAGGCAAAGATCAACATGACATCTTAATTTCCCCAGTGTGTTTCCCTTCAGTCTCTCACTCGCTCTTTGAGTATCACTGACTCTCTCTCTCTCTCTCTCTCTCTCTCTCTCTCTCACACACACACACACACACACATATATATATTCAATTGTCTCTGCCCGTCACACTTTCCCTCCCGTGTGTGTTAGAGCTCACACTGTATTGAATATAAACCCACAGGCCAGGTGTTAATAATACATTGTTTTTCTAAATGTCAGAGTAAAGCTCCCTGTTGATGGAACGTATGACAACTCCAATATGGCTCACGTCCAAATATAGTCTTACATTGCTGTTGTTGTTGTTGTTGTCCTGTCATTAGTTCATCCATCCATCCGTCCAAGTATGAGGACACCCATATGTTACTGTGGAGTCTGCACCTATCTTTTATTGACAAATGTATTCATAAAGTCCAGATGGACTAAAAAAAAACACAGGGATGTGATCTAAAAAGTTTTTTTTTTCCAATATTGTACCAATTATCTGTTTAACAACGTATGCAAAAACAACAACAACCAAACATCAATTCATTTATATTTTTATATTAAAATCCAATCATTGTGTCTTCCTGTGAACCTTAATGTGACGCGTGCTTACGTCAGCATGAACTAACTGATTTCAACCAATAATATCCTGATACTCACCCGTCAATCAGTCTTCAACTGTTAGTGACACAGAGCTCACTGATTACTGTACGAACACAACTTTATTATCACTGTACAGACGCACAACTTTATTATCACTGTACAGACACACAACTTTATTAACACTGTACAAACACAACTTTATTATCACTGTACAGACACACAACTTTATTAACACTACAAACACACAACTTTATTATCACTGTACAGACGCACAACTTTATTATCACTGTACAAACGCACAACTTTATTATCACTGTACAAACGCACAACTTTATTAACACTGTACAGACACACAACTTTATTATCACTGTACAGACACACAACTTTATTATCACTGTACAGACGCACAACTTTATTATCACTGTACAGACACACAACTTTATTAACACTGTACAGATGCACAACTTTATTATCACTGTACAGACACACAACTTTATTAACACTGTACAAACACAACTTTATTATCACTGTACAGACACACAACTTTATTAACACTACAAACACACAACTTTATTATCACTGTACAGACGCACAACTTTATTATCACTGTACAAACGCACAACTTTATTATCACTGTACAAACGCACAACTTTATTAACACTGTACAGACACACAACTTTATTATCACTGTACAAACACACAACTTTATTAACACTGTACAGACACACAACTTTATTATCACTGTACAGACGCACAACTTTATTATCACTGTACAAACGCACAACTTTATTAACACTGTACAGACACACAACTTTATTATCACTGTACAGACACACAACTTTATTATCACTGTACAAACACAACTTTATTAACACTGTACAAACACAACTTTATTAACACTGTACAAACACACAACTTTATTAACACTGTACAGATGCACAACTTTATTATCACTATCACTCAGATTCCCAGTGATTCTTTTTTTTGGGGGGGGGGTTTACATTACATGGCAAAGGGCCACAGGCTGGATTCGAACCCAGGCCACTGCGGTACTGGGACGCCTCTAGCTGGACACACATAAACATACTGAAGCAAACAGTCCTGTGCTTTCCGTTTCAGGGGGACTTTAAATGTGAGTGGAAGTAAGATATGTGTATTTATTTTATTTCTGATAAATCAATCATGGGCCCTGAGGCTGTGTGCATTTTCCCAGCCTACCTGATATCAGGTAAATGGGAAGTTTCTGGTGAGCGTGATGTGGAATAGAAAGCAGAACTTTGAAGCAGAGTATGAATGCATATGAGGGTTCAGGTCTGCAACATGAAGCCAGCCAGTGAGGAAGGTGAGGTGTTCGATCACTATAACGTCTCCTAGTAATGTGCAGGTCGCAGTTCTCGGACACTGCGGTAAACTCGCGGATCGGCCGGCCAGGTGATAAAAATGAACTCTGATTAACAGTGAATGGATTGTGGGTAGGTGAAGCGTGTCTCCATTAATAGAGACGCTGCACACATTTATGCATCTTCATTGATTATTTAAATCTCCCGAGACGCCAACAGGACCGGTCAGGATCTAATGTAAATTAATGTTCTGTGTTCTTCTGCAAAAGGTCACAGTCCAGGTTCATACGGGGAAATAGTTTGCAGTAAAACAGCCGTTTGCTGATAAATCCTGAACTTTATCAGAGTTCCCTCCGTCCTGTCCTGTTTATAACAGACAGAATGTGTCCTGATGATGGTGCTTAAAGGCCACATTTACACAGGAAACTGAAAAAAGGCTGTGTGGATCATCATGAATCATTTAAGCTTTGGTTATTTTCTAGTGTACTAACAGCGCCATGACATATGAGCATTAACTGAGACTGTATATGATCTTTAGACCTCTAAAACTGTATTATTTAAAAGCAATAAAGAGCAGCCTAAAGAGTGGAACACACTCCTTCAGTAGAAACATGTTAATGGTTTAAAGTCTCTTCAGTCTGTTTGATGCTGCTGGTTGCTCAGGCTGAAGAGTCTCTACACATAAAAGCTCCTCTTACTGTCTCAGCCTCTCTCACACTTGTTGTCTCTTTAATTATTCCTGAGTGTTTTCTTTCATTTCAGCCGGAGCAGCTCACAAATCTCTGCCTTTATCTTTCTGTCAGATCACTCTGTAAGCAGTTCACTGTCTTGCTCAAAGGCTCCTGAACAACGTTTCCTGCCTCTGTGGATGTGAAACCCGCCACCCTCTGGTCCCCCGGCTCGCAGCTGGAGCATTCCCAGTTGATGGCGGTCTGGAGCCAGCAGCCCATCTGATTTTTATTCAGCCTCTTTACTGCCAGGCCAACTCGTTCCCCCGCGAGCCCGTATGGTGATTTCTCATTTTCATGTATTTTAATTGCAGAATGTGACATTTGAAGCTTCTCGCAGGCTGGGTTTGTATATTTCACCATCACCAGTCTCATTTTAACCACTGGCACTCTTATATTTAACACCTGGCAAAGTATCATTCAACTTCTGTCCTTACAACATGAAACAGTGCTCATATGTGGTCATTAACTGAGCCACTCATCCTCCAACAACTGTTGCACTGGGTGACATACATTCAGCCCCACATACGCACTGTCCTGCTGCCCCAAATACTTACTATATGTGTATCAGTCCACGCCTGAATATAGTACCCAACAAATGCCCTCCTGTTTGAGTAACGTGACCAGAATTTCAAAAATGATTGCTCGGTCAGATCAGAAAACAGGTCACAAAGTTTTTGCAGTGAGAGGCCTCTTTTTCCAGTTGTTTTCTATATGCGTCTCCACTTCTGTTTCTGCTGTGCAAAAATGTAAATATCCTCGAATCGGCATCGTTTGGAGCCAGAGTCTGTGCAGTAGGGTTGGCCCTGTGGTATCCAGTATATATATATATATATATATATATATATATATTGCGGTATAGCAATTAATGTTAGAACCTAATATTACTCTTTGCCAGTTTCTTTATGTATTCCTTGAGGTAAATTCAGAATCAATCAGCAGCATTGGGCCTCATCCGAGAAGTCATATATGAATAATGGTTCTCTTGTTTTTGTTCGTATCCATTATTTATCCTTAAAAAATGTATATTTAAACCAGTGCAATTGAATCTAAATATATATATATACTCAAGCAAGTATAGTAGAGTGTTTTTTCTACCACTGCAGGGTTGAGCAACAAATTTCTCAGTTTGTAATTTGTGTTATTGAACAAGCTGCACCGTTCCCAGTGGTACTACACCAGCTGAATGCATGGCGTGAACGGAGGAAGCCCCTGTTTCAGCTCCCCTCCTTCCTGACAGTCCTCTTCTGCCGTGGTGAGGTCTTTTTCACTTCACATAACAAAAGGGTCTGCTCAGCAACTCTGCCCAAGCAACCCATGGCTCCTCCCTCCAAACAAAATTGGTTGGCAGTGTCGCCTCAGAGCAAGAAGGTCATGGGTTCAAATCCTGGCTGGGGCAAAGCCCTTTACAGTGGAGTTTGAATGCTTGTGAAGTGTCCAGTCAATACCCTTAACAGAGGAAAACATGCAATTAATTCAGTCCCATCTAAAAGGCCACGCCCACATGATGCTGCCATGGGGAAATTCACGACTTTACATTCAGCTTCAGGGCCGACACTGAACCCTGCTGCACAGCAACACTGCCACCTTCTGGACAAACTACCAAAGTGATCACATTCCCACCAATGCGCTGGCTTGGAAGTCGCTACGGTCAAATCAACAGCAGGCAAGGACTGTTCTGTTTCTTCTTCAACATAAACTTCAGGGTAGAGCACAAACGCAGTCCTCCATCACCAAAATTATGCAACCACAATTCTCATATTGGGAAGTCGGAGGGATTAGCACAATCAGATTGCAACGGTTAAGCTTCGCCCTGGGTGAGCCACCTTCATGATCACGGTATCTTCACTACCGGGTAAGCATGAGTTGGGAGTGTCAGAGACTGGGGAGTCATTCCCAGACATATCCCCCCCCGGCTGACAGTGCTCACTGCGCATAATACCAGAGTAATGTTACGTTCCCACCGAGGTCAAAGCCAGTGCCAGCTCGCATTACTTGATCATGATCATCATAATGACGGTGATGATGACGACAATCTCCACAACAATGGAGAATGGAGAATAGCAGTATTCTTTTTACTGTTTTCTATACAATTATTTTATTTAATTACAGTTGTGGCTACGTCCCTGAGTATCCGCACACCTGCCCTTATATCGTGTTTAGGGGCTAATTAACAATCAGCCACACGCCTCCAAACAAGATGAAGAGGGATTCATCATTCAGCTCACCTGAGTAAGAGCAGATACAGCTGAATGTTTTATATTTTCTGCATGAGGCTCATTGATACTCAACCAATCACCGATACACCTGGAATACATCAGACAGACTCACAAAGGACACAGGAACAAACATAACAAATAAAAGACACATCAGGCCCACAGCAGTCCAATAATAACAGGCCCATTAAAAATAATGACCCAGTCCACTGACACGACCACGGCTTATATCACAGCGCTGTGACTGCAGTAAAATTACCAGTAAAATTAGGTCCCACGTTGTATTCCTTGCTTCTGTTGCAACCACGGCCACACCGAGCTCATAAAGCCGTGTGCGTATACGAGGGTGTCAGCCGCCGTCCTCTCTGCCCTTGTTGCTGCAGCTCACTGCGGGCTCTGGCGGCGTCTTTAGAAGCAGGCGGCGGCCATAACTGTCTGCTCTCTGACAGCGCCTTAATTAATGGCACACGCTTTAGATTACAGTTTACCAGGAAGAGGTGACAGCGAACACTCAAACTACATTTGTTGCTTCTATATGTGTATCCACTCTCAGATTACTTACAAACATTTCCATCAGTAACTGAGTAATTAGTAATGTTATACATTTGGTTTGAGTAATGACGAATCAAAAATAGGAAATATAGCACCTTATACTACAAAGATGTATTATTTTCTTCTCTTTAAACATCTCAAAACAGTTTCAATGCAAATCTGATTTTTCATATTCAGCATTTACAGTCGATCAGATCAAATTATTGATCCGTTCTCTGTTGAAAACTATTGTTGTAAGCATGGTTGTTAGTCCTGCACTGGCAATCCAAGGTGCTTTGGGTTAAGATAAGACAACATTATCCTTCCAAGCAACACAGGGGAAAAACAGAAAATAAATAGAATACAATAAAATGAAAATTATAATACACAATAAGAGCACGGAGGGTTAAAAAGTCTCATAGTTTTACAATTAAGTGGGATCTAAGCCACCATCTCCACAGATATCTAGCTCCAGTGTTGAGTTACTCAAAAAGTGTAATTTATTTCTCATTACATATTTAAGTTTAGCATCTGGTGCTGTGTAACTGCTGAGGACCCATACTGTACATGTCTAACATAAAACTACTCAGCGTTTCTGGGTTCTTGACAAGTGGACTAATTGGTGATTAATAAAGTAAATAATCTTTATTTTATAACACTGCTCGTTCCTGCAACCTGCCCTTCAATGATGAAAATCATAAGTAGTTGAAACGGTCCCGTTAACAGACAGATACTGATCTACTGTTACTGTACTGGAGGTTTTCCACTGACACGGTGGGTCAGATGGCAGCGGCACAGAGCAACCCCCCCACCTCCACCTCCACCCCCCAGGTGTGTGTTGACACGTTGCCCAAAATGCTGTGAAGATCCCGGTCAACCACACCGATCACATGTACTTTATTACATTTTTAATGTGCTTTTTAACCTTCGGTTAATGAAATTAGAGCCCGGCCCGGCGCCAGGTGCCGTCACGTAGAGGCGGATTCTCAAGGACTTTGTCAAAGTAACTTCCTGACTCGCTGAGCGTCCTCCCCCGTCCTCCCCCCAGACGCCTGCCGAGGCTCGAACCAACAAACAGGATATGAGGTCACAGCATGATGTATATCGCCATGCCAACCCTCAGTGGGCGGGCCTCTGGACTGCAAAGCCGCGAATAAATCTCTCCCCGGTTGATCATCTGTCGCTGTGTCCGCGTGTGTGTGTGTGTGTGTGTGTGTGTGTGTGTGTGTCCGTGTGTGTGTGTGTGTGTGTGTGTGTGTGTGTGTGTGTGTGTGTGTGTCCGTGTGTGTGTGTGTGTGTGTGTGTGTGTGTGTGTGTGTGTGTGTGTGTGTGTGTGTGTGTGTGCGCGCTTTCTGAGTGTTTACAGCATGAAAACTAAATACATACATAAAAAGTGCAGCCGTATGCGTACTATACTATATAGTATATAATCAATACTGTGATCTTTAATTATCGGTTTATTATAGATACAGAAAATCTACTAGGACCCCCCCCCTCCGGAACAGGAACACAGCGAGGTGCGACGGTGGTTGGATGGACCCGGGCCAGTGAAACAGATGCTGTGAGGTGAGGGTTTAGTGAGATGCAGGTTCCTGTAACCGAAAGGTCACAGGTTCAAACCCTGCAGCCAAGATCCAGCAGAACAAATCCCCTCCTGCTCACCCAGTAGAAACCACTCTGAGTGTGTGTACTATATTTATGTGCTTACACTCAACCTGCGTACATCTTCCTAAGCCCCGCCCCTTTCTGCTCTGTGCTCCAATAGCAGTTGAGGAAGCCGCGATCAGAACCTCGGTCAACTTCCTCCTTTCCTGTACTTAGATATGCTACGTGCTAGGCTAATCTATGTTGAACTGGGAAATTAGCTACAGACACCAACAAAGTTTTAATATGGAGACTGACTCACTGCTGGAGCCTCTAGTGGACGTTACAGGAACTGCACTCAGGTGTTGGCTGAATTTCTTGGCCAAGGAGGTTGCTGCTTGCTAGCAACCTAGCTAATTTACACCTATTGTTCGTTAGCTGGCATTTTGCTAATTTAGCTGTTTCAAGAGGTGATATATATCACTTACATCTTTTATCCATCCAACCAAATGTGGTTGTCTTTTCAACACTGATTAGCCTAGCACGTATCATTTTTTAATACAGGAAGGGAGGAAGTTGGTCGAGTCCTGCTCAACTGTGATTGGAGGAAAGAGCAAAAAGGGGCGGGACCTAAGAAGCAAGGTTTGAGTTACAATCTGAGCTCTGGAGGTCTCTCAAATAATAAACAATAGCCTAATGCAGTGGTTCTCAAACTGGGGTCCCCGGCCTCCCGGGGGTCCGTGAGCCAAAGCTTGGGGGTCCGCGAAATACTATTGTAGCGACCTGGAATAATGAGGTACGGAGCAGGAGCCGGTTCAGCTGGTCTTTATTCTCCACAGCTTGAACACCGGCTACTGTAGGCCGTAACCAACGGCAACGCAATAAAACAGGTAGATATCACTATCAACATTAACACTCAACGTCTCTCCCAACTCTCACTCACCGGAGCCCCACAACAACGAACCATGCACCAATCACCGGCACGCTCTCACACACCCCGTTGCCGTGGCAACCGTCCCGGCTGACAGGCTTCACAGCCTCTGACAGCGCCACCCCTCAGACCTCCCGCAACCCGTACCTGTACAGTGTTTCCTCTAGGATTCTTTTTAGCAGCAGCGGCAGGCCCGTCCGAGCCCGTCTGAAACAGAAGTGACACTTCGCTGCGACAAACAAATATATTTACCGTTTTAATGTTTCCAGATGTTTGATATCAGGACGTTGAGCTGAGAACTGACAAGTTGAACGTTGTCCAATTAAAACGGACCCACCGCGGTGACGTTTCTGGTGGAGCTGTTAGTTTAATAGTCGACTTGGAAGAAAGTGAACGTTTTGACAATAAGCTCCATCAACACAACAGTATGTGGAGTTAAAGTGGACAGCCCCAATAACCTCTGAATAGTTCTACTTGTTGTTAAACTGCACTGTGAGCGGCAGCCAGCGGGGGTGCATTATGTCGGCAGGATCATTTAAAAGGCAACCGGGACTACATTGTGCGTCTGCCCCATTTCTGATACCGTGGAGGCAGAAATTTAACAGCAGCGGGCCGCCGCTCCAAAATCAACATAGAGGAAACACTGCTGTAGCACAACCTAACTGAACACAAACAACCACAGTGAATACACAGTCCGTTACAATATGCAATCAATTATTAAAGTTATACACATGGGAACCACTGCACCAATAAAACAAAAATACTGATCCAATTACTCCCGCTTACGTTAGCTTTGGGCCAATCAAAACTCTCAAAGGATTGTATCAAGTAAATCTGACACACATCACTCGCTCACATCACTTTGCTCAGGACACACTTAGCGTACAGCTGGACGAATCAACAGACATTTCCAGTCCAGCTCAGTTGATTGTTTTGGTGCGCTATCCCTGGGAAGGAGACATTTTGGAGGACTTTCTGTTCTGCAAAGAGGTGCCAGGCAGGACAACAGGTGAGGAAATATTCAGACTGCTGGATGCTTTCATGACTGAAGCGAGACTGAGTTGGGAAAAATGTGTGGCCGTTTGTCCGGATGGCGCAGCGGCGATGACCGGCCGAAAGAGTGGAGTAACAGCGCGAATAAAGTCTGTCAATCCGAGGATTATGGCGACTCGCTGTATGCTACACCGGCAAGCACTCGCTTCCAAAGACATGGAACCAGATCTTCACTCTGTTTTGAACACAGCTGTGACTGCAGTTAATTTTGAGAAGTCAAGGGCACTGCAATCCCGTTTGTTTGGACAACTTTGCCGGGATATGGATGCTGGACATGACACACTGCTATATCACTGTGAGGTGCGATGGCTCTCTCGTGGTAAAGTTTTGCAGCGGGTGTTTGAGTTACGCAGAGAAATGGCAGAGTTTATGAGAGAGGAAAAACCCAACATCGCACAGTTTTTTACAGACGCGGAGAGTATGGCCAAGTTGGCATATCTTGCCGACATATTCTACATACTGAATAGCCTCAACCTCTCCATCCAAGGAGGCCACACATCCATCCTGAAAGTTAGCGACAAAATCACTGCCTTCATGGAGAAAACAGT